TCAAAGTGAGGTGGCTGAAACCGGTGATCTTCAAGGCAGCGAGTTTCAGCCTTGCATGTGCACACAGGTCATTTGGAATCTTGTTACTATGCAGATTCTGACTCAGTAGCTCTGACTTAGTATGTCTGAGATTCTGCATTTGTAACAAGCAACCAGATGACGTTGCTGTTGCAAGTCTTGGGACAGTAAACTGAGTAACAGCACTCTAAGGTACTTTATCTCCCCAACATTTAAAAAAGTCTTCAACAGCACCATCCAACAGGGCTGTCTGCAGTGAAGGAGATGTTCTTTGTCTGTGCTGTCCAGCATGATATAGAAGCCACTAGCCACCTGTGACTACTGAGCACTTGAAATGTAAGCTAGTACTACTGAAAAACTCAATTTTTAACTTAATGTAATTTCTTTATAACTGGCAATTGTATTTTTGACCCCCTTTCAAATTATTGAAACTTAAATGATTTAATTTAAATAGCCACGTGTGACTAGTTGGTACCATGAGTCCAGAGGTTTTAAAACATGAAGCATGTGACAGGCCTATGAAAGGGTGTTCATAACATATCCATAAGCGGGATCACACATCCTCCCCGCACCCCGGGAATAAGCCCCAATTCATGGCAAGGCGTTCTCTGGCTCAAAGTAAGCCCCAAAGCTAAACCCCCGTGAATAGAATGTGTTGATTCTGGGTATATCATGAGAGAGAAGCAGTTAGAGATGCCACTGAAGAGGTGATCTTTGTACTGTGCCTCCTAGAATAGCAGAATGAGTTTGGGCTTTACCCCAAGGGCAATGGCCAAGGTCAGGCTAAGCCATCACGGCAGCACAGCAGAGGGAACCCCCGAGACCGCCCGAAGCGAACGGGGAAGAGGCAACCAGGGGAGGTAACGTTTGAGCTGAGTCTTCATGGATGGGGAGAGGTTCGCCAGCAAGCCACATCGGGGGAGGAGACAGTACAGAAGAGGGAAGGCACACACGAGGAAGGACCGAGCACCGTGGGCGTGGTAGAGGGAGGGAGCGTGAGACCTTGGGGAGTCCCGCCTCAACGAAGGACAACAAAAGACGAAACACAGCGATGGCTCTTCTTCCTTCAAAAGGTAACAGGCATTATTATTGAGAAGACGTCCTAAGTGGTGGCTCCAAACGGCGCTACTGAACAGTTACAGAGGCAGCGCACTGGCCAATTCCAGGAGCGGCTCTTTGCATAAATACAATGTCAGTGTCATCTGTGGAGTTGTGAGCACTGCCACGTTTTAGTCTTTTAAATACAATTTTTATTAAAGTTCTCTTGTTTAACCCCCATGAGAATAGAGCCTTCAAACTGGAGGCAACTATAAAATGAGCCCCAGTTTCCAGGGGTTTCGGTATCCTGATAACTAAATGAGGAGACGAATTACGGGGCTCCTACATGCTGGGTACAGTTCCAGTGCTTTAAATATGTCGCCTCAGATGTCTCAACATTCCTACGAGGAAACATAGCTGAGACATCAAGGCAGCGCACACAGATAGAAACTGTTAGAGCTAACACACTGGCCGAGTCTTGATGGATTTTTACATCCATGCTCTGTCCGCCACTTGGTGATTTCTTAAAAGCGTAACGGGGAAGCCATTCATCTCTTTCCATGTTTTACAACCCTATGGGAAATCACTCGTTTGCCTGTTATTAGGACACATACTTTGAGACATCACAAGGCTCTGATGTAGCTGAAGTTATATCAACTTACCACAGCGACACTGGTCATCTCACACCAATTAGAACCTCTGCATGGCAGCAGTATCCGCCTTAGATTCATTAGAAAGAGAAACTAATTACTTTAAAATTTCTATTTAGTTGGCACCTTATCAAAATATGACTACCCGGGAGGAAGAGTAATAAACTGGATCCATGGTGATTTATCACACCCTGCCGGAATCATAATTGTATGTTTTTGTATCTGTGGACCACCCTCAGTTGTCCCATCAGAAGCTCACTCAGCTTCTCTGTGTTACTTCTCAGTATCATCTAGGTCTCCCTGGGCACGCTAATGCTCTCCAGTAGCTTTACATACCACGTACCTGCTATTTATTGCCAAATCTGTAGCTCCTTCCTTAACATCATTTCATAGCACCCAACACCTACATTCATCCACCTGTGAGACTCTTCCACTTTCTGACTTAACATGTCCGAGACCAAACATACTCCCTCTTCCTACAATCTTGCTTTTTCTCTTGTGTGTCCTTTGTCAATGAATGGGACTGCCACCCACATGGTCACGCAAGCCAAGAACCTGGCTGTCTTCTTTGATTCTTCTCTCTCCAATCCTTCGCCATCTCCAACCCTCGCTGCCATCTAATCACTCCCACATTTTTCAGCTCTATATAACAGAAAACATAAACAAACAAGCAAATAATTCCAGTGATTTAAATAACTCAGTGATTTAAATATCTTCCCAAAGTAGGAAGTCTGAGCTCAATATGGTGGCATAATAGTCATCAGGGATCCAAGCTCCTTTATTCTGCTTACCATGTAGCTTTCAGTTTCCATTCCAAGGTCATCTCAGTCCAAGATGGCTACTGGAGTGCCTCCATCATATCCATGTTGCAGGCAAGAAGAAGGAAAAAGGAAATGGAGTAGGATGGGAGGGAGACTTCTGGCTAATTCAGTTTCCTCTAATCAGCCTTCCCCAGAATTTCACATTCACTCCTGCTAATTCTTATTGCCTATAACTTAGGGCCATGGAAGACTAATAAATATAATATTTTAGCTGGGTAGCCTTCTACCCCATAAAACATGAGGTTATGTTTCTAAGGCAGAAAGGGAGAACAGATCTGGGGTTGCGACGAGCTGTTTCTGTCATCTCAAGTGTTGCCTCTACCTGCTTTAGATTTAACATACCTACCTGCATCTCTACATCACACCATCATTGTTGAAGTTGAGGCCCGATCCTAAAGGAAGAGCAATTCCAGTGACAGCTGGAACAATGTGTACTGAGCAAGGAAAACAGTCTTTATCCAATTTAAAATGGCATTTTCCAGTCTGCCTGCCCCCACCGAAAAAGCTCTTAGTTCAAAAGGACCAGTGATGTTAGAAGGACTAATGTCTCCACCTGCCCCTCAATTTAATAGCAAGAGATTCCACATGTCAGACAGGAAAAAGGGGTCGGAAGGAGAATGTGCATTATGATAAATAATTTATGTTAATACCAACAATAAAGACAAACCGTGGTGGTAAATGTCACAGCAGAACCAAGGAAATGTTCCACTGTGATATTTTGATTTCAGGCCAACAGACTCTACAATCACCCAACACAGTTTCATCAGGAATTCATCAATGTCAAAGCACCTAGGCTGCCAGTCTTTGGTGTTTACTACAGTGGGGGCCTAAATAACACCATCTGGCTTTGCATCCATCATCTAGCTCACTAGGGCTGGCTTTCTGTCATTATCTGCAGACAAAATGGAACATTATAATGGGCTTTATGCCTCTCCTCTACCTCAATATTCTCATAAAACACCCTTACTTCTCTGTACCCCAGGATCTAGCCCAGTGCCTGACCTGTAGTATCCCCAGAAATTAGTATTGCACTAAACTAAATTAAACACCAAGCTTCATCCAGTGGATTATTAATTCTTAGTTGTACTATATACTCAAATACACAGTCATGCAAGTCACAAAACAACCTGTCACCCATGAGCCTGCACTGCCATTGTCCAAATGTAGTCAGTAAAGCAGAGCATCATCTCAAACAACTTCCGAGGGTCAAGTCTAGGTACCTATATGTACCAGCTGTGAGGCTTAGGTCAACCTGTTAACCTTTTAGTTCTTTATCTTCCAAATGGAAATGATAACATGGACCTGACTCTATGTTTTGTGAGGAATAAATAAAATAATCTATGTAAATGGCCAAGCACATTTTCTGGTTCTTAAGAAAAGGTAGTACACTGCCCAGCCTCCCTCAACATATGTTTTCCAGATGGTATTTAAAATATTTTAGACCTTAAAGGAACTGAAATTAACTATAAATACAATGAGAGAAATTTTATTGAGAAATTCACACACATTATCTGACTTAAACCTCACAACATACCTAAGAGAGAGCTAATTACCATGAGGAAAGGGAGCTCCAAGGTCGTCAGGATGACAAGTGTAAGAGTCTACATTTAATCCAGTGTCTATCCTATTGAAAACACTCAAGGACAGCAAATAAGTATTAGAATTGGGGCAAGCCTGAAGAACGTTTAAGTTCTTTTCCAAATACTGTCCCAATTCTGAAATCTAATTTTTGTGACAAATAACTATATTCTATAGTGCAGAAGTAAAGATGACTCCCATGCAGAAGCTGGAAGGATGGTGTGGTGGAAACTGATGGACTCAGAAATCATCCTGTGTGTGTGTGTGTGTGTGTGTGTGTGTGTGTGTGTGTGTGTGTGTGTGTGTGTGTGTGTGTGTGTGTGTGTGTGTGTGTGTGTGTGTATGCGCAAGCGCACATGCACACACATGTGTGTGACATCAGTATCCTGAGTCAGAAGTATATGAGGAGTGAGAGGAGGAAGCATTACCTTATAATGAAACAGAAATGAGCCCATTGCTTAAACAGTGGATGCCAGGCATTGTACTAATAACTTTATTTCTATTACCTGTAATCCGCCCAGCTAAGTTGTGACGTTGGTTTGATATAATCTTTGTTTTATGGTTGAAAAACAAAGCTTAGAGACACTGAACATATATCCAGCTTCAAATACTGGTCTGTCTGATTCCCAAGCCCCTCCTGTTTTAACACTATTTGTGAGGAATGGAAATATAATATCTGAGTGGCAGATACAAAACATGGTCTGCCTAACCCATTGTGGTAGTTTTAAAATACGTCCACCAATTTTATGATACTCTTCCTTTCAAACAGTGAAGCCTAAATGTAGGCTGGATTTTAATGCATAGACTGTGGCAAAAGTGAAAGTGTGTGCCTTCTGAGACTCAATAAAAAAAAATAAAAAAAATAAATAAAAACAGTGTCTTCTCTTTTTCTTAGATCGCTCTGCGGGGAGCCAGCTGACATATTGTGAGGACACTCAAGCAGCCTATGGAGCAGTCCACACATTGAGAAACAGGCCTCCTGCTAACAGCCAGCAAGCAATGAGGCCGTTTTCAACAGCCATGTGAGTGATCCAGTTTTGAAAATGCATCCTCCGGCCCTGTCAAGCTTTCAGATGACTGCATCCCCGGTGGACATCTTGGTGGCAGCTTCATGAGAAACCTCGAGCCAGAACCGGCCAGGTAAGCTGCTCTGTAACTTCCAATTCACAAAACCTGAGAGATAACAGATGCTCATTTTTTTAAGCTACTAGGTTTGGGGATGGTCTATCACACGTGATAGATAACTAATACACCTATTGGCCAGTCAAGAAAGTAGTCGAGGAAAAGGTGGAACCAGCCCTCCTCGTCCTCATGCTGTGTTCTGTCCTCTCACTCTACCATTCTGGCCACGGACAGTAAAGAATCAGGCCATGGAGTTCTTTCTGTGTCAACCCACTCTGCCTTGTGGTTGTCAGTGGTAGAGCCATTTCTCCTCAATCTTCAGGAAATCATAATCAGAAAGAGAAAACACCCACGATTCTATAGCATAAAACCCAGGCAGATATGTGATCCATAAAGAACCTGTTAGCATGTTCTAGAGAGAACAACAGGGACTCAGGAATCATGGTGCCTCGGTTGGAACTTCAGATCTGCCATTGACAATGTACGCATTATTTAACTTCTCTAAATCTTTGGTGTTCTCATTTACAAAGTGAGGACAATGATTTCCAATTCATAAGGTGATTATAATGATGTAAAAAACTCATTTACATGGAGCTCCTAGCACATGTATTCATTCAACAAACATTTAATGATGTTTTAGGCACTGTATCAATTACTGGTGAGGGTAAGACACACAGCATCATACCCTCACAGAGCTTTCAGAGGAAAATAAACATAATCAAGTAATAATTTTCTCTAAAGTATGGTAAAATGTGTGGCACATAGTAGATATTCAATAAATATTTGAGTTTTCTTCCCTTTTACCTTCTCCTAGAGTCTGACTTCGTCATGGAGGTGATGTTCATGGTGGTGGTGGTGGTAGTTTTTCTTCAAGACAACTCATTTGTCTTGTGACCTCTAAATCAAGGTCACGGCCTCCCTCCATTTCCTGCCAGAGTCCACAAAAAAAAAAATGAGCCATAATCATTCTCCCTAACACAGATACTTCATTTTTAAAAGAACGTATTTATTTTCTAATTCACTAATAAAATCGACACTAGAGTCATTATTTGTAATAAATATTAGGAACTTAGGTCTACCCAGTAATAATGGGCCTAGCTGCAATCCTTGATTCAAGGATGTACTCTAGATCTGCTTCGTGGAAGGACAAGGAAGGGAGAGTGAAAAACACTTTTTTTTCCCCCAAATTTGTTCTTGAACTACATCACCCAAAATGTATACACTTGATGATTCAAATGACCACAGAATCCTCAGACTATTGTGAAGCCCAGTGGGTCGTGGTGAGTAGAAGTATTGGTGGCAGTCAGGAGACTTGCTCAAATTTGCAGTGCTCTGTAGATGGTATCTAAGTCAGAAGACTGTCCTGCATCTCCTGATGGCTTGCTTTCTGCTGTTTGTCTCTTGCTGGCACTTTTCCATGACGGTGGTGCTGTGGCCAGGAAAACACAGTGGATGTCAGGAAACCCGGGTTCTTTGAACTAATGGAGTGGTCTTTGTTGAGTTATGTTTCTCCTTCCTGAGGCTCAGTTTTCTTAGACATAAAGTAAAAGCAATGGATTTTATAAGCCTTTTTTCTAGATTTAAAATGATAATGATAATTGTCCCTTTCCAACAATAATTGCCACCACTATTGAGCGCTCTTCCTTATGAGCTGCTCTGGGCTTTATTTATATTGTTTTTTTAATCTTCGAACTAACCCTGAGATAAGCAGCATCATGATGCTCATTTTATAGGCACAAGTGGCTTGTTAAGTGACTTTCCCAAAGGAAGAGGCAGGGCTGGAGTTTGGACTCAGTTCTGTTCTGCTCTAAGCTAAGTGATTCTGGACCTTAGGCTTACCAAATGACAAGTTATTCCAGAAATACTCAGGAAAAAGCTCACGTCATATGTCACGATGGAAGAATATAAAAATAGAAAATGATAATCACCCCACAGTGTGTTTTAATATGATTTTTATATCATTTTGTAATATTTTAATGGTTTTTTTCACCTATCTCACTACTGAGTAATCTTGAGGTAGGCTGAATATCTGTGGACTCCATATATCCTAGGGAAAAAAATTTAGTAACCTTAAAACAAAAATATGTCAATAAGAATAAAGAGTACACTTTTAGCCTGGGAGGACCCTCTGAATATTTGTGAGCCCAGAGCACCTTGCTTATCAGGTCCATTTTGTTTAGCTCCCGTATAATCAGAAGTTAAGGATTCTCGCTGGACCTTAAAGATGACTTTTTTCCATAAGAATTGCCGAGTGCCTGCTATGTGCTGAGCAAAGTATCTGGACCTCTGTGCATACCTATTTCATTATCTCCCAACATCTAACCAGTGAAACAGGTGCAATGAACCCCATTCTGCAAATGAGAAAAATAAGAATCAGAGAAAAGAAAGGAATTTCTCAAGGTCATACTGCAAGTAAGAAGCAGAGGAGGGATTAAAACCCAAGACTGCCGAATTCCCTTCACTGCACCAAGCTTGCTTCACGAAGATGCTAATCTCCCATTGCTTATTTGGAAAGACTTGCTCCTCTCCCATTTATGAAAAGGTCACTCTATCCAATAAACCCAGAAGCAGATATGAAACGTGATGCAATGAAACCCAGGCAGAGTACTTTAGATGTGGACCGGGGAGCAGAAGCGTTCCTGGCAATGTGACCCTGAAACTGAGAAGGAAAAATCTTCCAAAGCCCCTGAAACTGGATATTTTCTCAAGCCCCACCTATAACCAAAAATAGGTTCTAAAGATGTAAAGATGCCAATATCCAGGAAACACCATAGTTAAACATGCTGGAAATCTCCTGGCATTAGGGAGCGTGTCAACATTTCTGGAGAGTTAAAACAAACCAAACAACAACGATAAAAAAAAAAAAAAAAAAAAATCAGTGAAAAAAATATTTTTTAAAGAAACAGTGGACAATGGTTCAGTAGCAGATGGCCAAGAGAAATAAGAGCTGCATTTTATTTGGAGTTTATTACATATATCCCTTAATGCCAGTATAGCCTCTATAAGGTAGATTGTTACTATTCCCAATTTGTAGATAAGGAAACTGTGCTTGAAATTCTTCATCTGCCCCTCCAGATCTTTCCTCCACTCTCCACACCTGGTGTATACTCTAGAAAACTGACATTTATGGACTACATCAATGAGCCCCTTGCCTTCTGGCTTCCAGTTGGGTTTAGTCAATAGCAGCCATCAGCAGAAAAAGAAGATTGGAAGGTAAAAGAATGACATCTGGCTTTTTATTGCTCCAAATCCTTTCCTGCCAGAACTTAGATTGGCTGCAACCTTCCACAGAAAGTTACAGCTCCCTCCAGGCGACTCTTTCCTACAGTTCTAACATCCCTCCAGACCCCACGAAATGCTTTCTTTCCTTGCCCTCAATCCCAGGCTCAGAGTGATAACAGCTCTCTGCAATCGCTAGCTCTGAGATGCTTCACCATCCCTTGTGAATATCTCTTAGCTCTGCCTGAACCTTTGTAAATAGTCTTGTCACTGAACTGCCTCGATTTCCTCTTTTGAGTGTACAGGCTGGCTTCTTTGGGAGGGACCCTGACGGATGCTGAATCCAAGACAGAAGGATTAAGTCGCTTGCACAGAGTCACACAAATAGGGTGTTAGTTTAAGCAATGCTAGTTGCTATAGCATATAAATGCCTAAATCTCAGTAACTTCAATCGAGACACATTAATTTCTCAGTTGCATAAGTCCAATTTGGGGTTCCTGAGTGGCAGGTGGCTGTCCTCTAAGTGGTGATTAAGTAACTTGGCTCCTTCAACCCCTGGCTCCACCATATTCAACATATAATGTGCAAGGTACCCCCAATCTTCGGCATCAAACTGAAAGAGGGAAAGTGAATGGGGACCAAAACATGAAGGTTGTGTGCCAGGCCTGGAAGTGGCCAATATCTCTACCATTCATATTTCATCAGCCTAAGCTCAGTCACGTGACCATCCAATTGGGAAAGGCCCAGAGAAGGCGTGTCCAGGAGGACAAAGGGAAGGGTTTGGGGCAGAGCTGGTTGGTGTCTACCTCAAAGAGTTGGTGTGAGAGCACAGACTTGAATCCAGAGCTTTCTCACTCAAAACCCAAGGCCTCTAGTTCATGGGTGCATCGTGTATTTAATGTGTGCACCAAATAGCAAGATTTGGCTCTATGAGTTCAGGGGCAAAGCAGATAGAATGAGAACAATTTGAATAATGTGCTAGATTCAGCCCATGATTCCATCAAAAGTGGGTCAGGTCTGCCCTGAGAAGAGCGTAACATAGGAAACAGGAAGTCTGTCTGTCTCAGTGAGCACCTGCCCTTCACAGCCTAAGCATCTCACTGCCCATGATTCTGTGAGTCTACCTTTTAAGGATACACATTTTTCTATCCTTCAGTCCCCATTTATTACATATTTTTATTTAATCATAAATGTTATTGTAACAGGATTATATGAGAAAAATATGCATTCTATGATTTACAGTCCCTTTTAGAAAACCTGAAGGGTGATTTTGATTCTATACCCTGTTTGTTTTACTCACTGAATTTAGAACTACCATCACGTATCCTGAATCTCCAGTCTGCTCCGACTGCAGAGCTGTCTCCCCACTCATGCCTCTGTGGACTTCTCTCTACTGCGTGTGAGTTTATGGTGTTAGTACCCACCCCCTGAGACTACGAACGGTGGAACTTTTCGCATTGCTATGTAAATCTGAAGATTCACCACTCAATAAGTATTGACCTGTTGACTTCGCCCTTTTTTCCACCTCGTAGGCATTTCCAGTGATTCAGGAATTTGAAGAAAGAACATGCCTCGTAAAGGTAATTTTTCCCTCAACGAGTAACCTGGGGGACTCGTGTAAAAATAGGCTGACACGGATTTGATTTCAAGATTTAAAAACAACATATTTGAATCCTGTCTCAGTAAGTAAAAAAATCACAAGCTCTCAGTTCACTGATTATCTCCATGGCACTCTTACTCATCATCTTTTGCCCAGATGGAAAAAAAATATATGTGTTGGAGAAAGGAATTTCGAGCACTATGAGAGTACTATGGTTATGATTCTGTTGATATCGTCATTGATTACATGTAAGATAGTGTGGCCATCACAGTGAAGAAATCCCTTTTTCTGCTCTCAAGAATGGTACTTGTGTAGACAGACAATGCATGCATTATTAAACAAAGAAACAAGACAATTACTGATGGCAATAAGTGGTATAAAGGAAATCGAATCCAGGTGGCCTGAGATGGGAGAGGGGCATGCTGCTTTAGATAGGTGGTTAGAGAAGGCCCCACATGACAAGAAAGAGTGGGCCAGGTGAGTATTGAGGGAGTCGTATTCTAGGTATGAAGAGCAGCGAGCTCAGTGGCCAGAGATCAGGATGGTTTGGGGCAACTCAAGGAATAGCTCAAGGCTGTGAGGCTGCAATGGAGATGTTGGACATAAGGTGGAAAGGTGGCCAGGGGTGTTGGACATAAGGTGTGGCCTGTCGAGCCCGTAGGTCAGGACATAGAAATCTGTGGCCTGTCGAGCCCGTAGGTCAGGACATAGAAAGTTTAAATTGTGTCCTATGAATAAAAGAAAACTGTAGCGGGAGGGACTGAGCAGAAGAGAGTTGTGGTCTGTTTGGGGTTCTTTTGTTGGTGTGTTTTACTTTGTTATAAGGATCATTCTGTCCATGGTGTACAGAATAAGCTTTGGGGGAGGCGGTGACAAGAGGCGAAGCAGAGAGACCAATTAAAAGATAAGAAATGTCATCTTGGACCAGAGTTAGATTTTGAGCTGGTGAAAGTGATCAGATTGAGAAGACACTTCAGAATGGGGTTGTTAGGATCTGCCGATGGGTCTGTCATGGACTCTGAAGAGAAATGAAGAATCTGGGATGACTCCCAGGTTTGGAGCTTTGGCACCTAGCAAAAAAGTCAGCTGTAGCCAAAACAGAGGCAACTGGGAGTACCTTTCGGCACCACCTTCTCCAGCCCATTAGTTTCAAAGGGTTCTTCTGGTACTAGTTCTAGTCAACAGGCATTTGATGATGCCTGTTAAAAGAAAATATGGGCCCTACCCTCAAAGAGCAAGGAGAAATGGATGTCCAAACGGGTCATCATGCTGAGAGAGAAGCCGACAAGGCATTCTGAGAGACAATGAACCCAGACTGCGGACTCAGAAGGGCTTTTCGAGAAGGTGACACCTAGCTAAGACTCAAAAGGTAAATAAAAGCCAAAGAAGTTGTGATGGGCAGTCAAGCAGAGCCAACATGATGAGCAAAAGCAGAGTCTGGACCAGCATGACAACAAAGCACACGCATTTCACTAGGACAAACTGTAAAGACAAAAGGTGGCCAGAGATGAGGTTAGAGATGTCAGCAGGTCCCAATCGTGGAGAGCTTCTATACTGTTCCACAGAGCTTAGCATCTCTCCCGTAAGCCTAAAGAGGCAGAGACATTGAAGAGTTTAAGTGCCAGGGTCAGACTTGCAGGATCACAAACTCAGTTTCTAAAGTGGCCCATATGGTAGCAAATAGGAAAATGTCTGTCATTCATTGCTTCTGCCATTCATTTGCCCTTGACTTTGGTTTCCTTGAGTTATTTTCCCTAGTGCATGTCTGTCATCTCATAGTCTAGAAAGTATGAAGTCTTACTTTTTATCGAACCCCAGCATTCTCCCAGACAAGGCCTAGCGTGGAGTGAGAAATCTAAAGTGTTCCCTGGTACATCGCTTGGTTAGGTATTAATGAAGCTTCTTGGAATCTCAGGAATAAAGATCCACAACCCCACACCCACCACCACTTCTACACTCCTGCAATCATGTAATACCAATTAACTCTTTATCTTAGAAACAACAGTTAAATGAGAAATTCCAATGGCTGTCAAATTATGAATGGTTGGACATCAAAATTCTCCAAAATACTAATAGCTACCATTGATTGGGTATTTATCTATATGCCAGGCACTCATCTAAGCACAATTCAGGTAGTAATTCAATAAGTTCTCAAACAACCCTGAGAGATATTCATTTGACAATTGAGGAAACGGGCATGACTAATTAACTTGCCCAGGGTCATATAACTAACAAGTAAAAGAGCCAGGATTCAGCTACAGGCAGTCCAACCCTAGTGTTCACACACTTAACCACTCCACTATTTCTGGTCTGGTCCTGCAGTCTGGAACTTCATTCCACCAGGCCTAAATAGTCACCACTCACTCAATCAATAAAAATTCACCAAGAACCATCTCTGTATCAGTACCTTGCTAACATTCTGAGGACACCAGCCAAGGTTTATCCTTAGTTCCAATTCAAGAAAGTCTACATTTATTGTTGGCCACAAAATGTGTATTCCTACCTATGCCTTTTCTTGGGGGTCCCTTCCCAAAAGAAGTCTGTGGACCTCATGAAATTACATATAAGTCATGGATATGTATGTGTACTTCTTTCCTGGGGAGAGTCTATAGCTTTCCTCAATGATTAAACCTTATAAATTAATCTTAAATAAAACTTTCTCTTTCAGAATACTGTCCAAGTTCCACCAACCAAGTTCAACTCTTACCTCTTTTGAGAATACTTTCTCAAACTGACTTCTGATGGCATATGCATTCTGTAATATAGATTTGGGTAACTCCATCATGCTTATTGCCATAGAAACTGAAGCTTATAAAAAAGCTAAAAACAAGTTTGTTTCAATTACTAACATTTTAAAAGAGTGATGAGGACTCTTTCATTTACTGCTTATGCAAAGAATAAATACTCCGCCCAATGTGATGACCATGCATACCTATGCATGCACAGCATACATCCACCATACATTCACCACACACACACACACACACACACACACATATGCATACACAGCACACATCCACCATACATTCACCACACACACATACACACACACACACACACACACACACACACACACACACACACAAATTTGGCCAAAACAAATAATAAAAGGAGAAATTTTCAGCAACCTCCAAACCAAACAAAATAGGAATAAACCATGCCATACAATGTTGATTGCAGCAAAGTGTGTGGGCAACGAAGCCAACTGCAGTTGGCTCTTATTCTTGCTAGTTGTAGGACCCTGGGCAAGTTCATTCACCAAGCCTCAGTTTCCTCATTTGCCAAGTTTGTCTTCTGTCTCACTTTACCCGATAAAGTTCTTAAGTAAGCCACACTCTCAATAAGACTCATTGTGCCCTTAGAGCTTCATTTTGTACCTTTTAATGCATTGGTTCAGCTTGTGTTAAGTTTGACTTCTAATCTGCCTAATCTATATGGTTTGGAAAATAAAGTATGTTGATCTGTCTAGAATAGATGAGCATCTGCCTCTAGAGCCGAGGACCTTAATCCTACCTGCCTTCCTCATTAGCTGTAGCCATAAAAGTGCAGAGATGATCTCGCCCAAAATTCTCTTTCACCCTGGAGAAGCTGAGTAAAGCCTGGAAGAGTCATGTGCCTTGCCTAAGGTCACAAAATAAATTAATGATAAAACTAAGACTAGAATTCAAAATTTCCAATATCCAGCCCAGGGCCACTTAGCAAATGTTTACTGAGTTCATATTAATGTTCCAAGGCCTGTGGAGACAGAGATAATTAGAGCACAGTCCCTGCCCACAAATATTTCACAGTCTAGCAGATTTTATTGGACCCAGCATGTGACAAATTGGAATGCTCCCTACCCTCGTGTGAGCCTGGGTCTGAGAGAGAAGGTAAACGCATGGTGCTTTCCCAACTTGAGCTTTTGCAGAATTACCTCCCAGTCACTCCACTCACAATCTAAAGAGCTTCTAACTCTTAACCTGTACCAGTTCCCAGAAGAAACTTGCACCGTCAAAGCTGTTTGAAATAAACCTCATATGGAAGGTGAGGATGCTTCTGAGGAAGAAAATGTTGAGTGTAAGAGAAATTGGACCAATGGGCTAAACCTAAAGAAAAGCTATTATGTATTTAGCAAGATGTCTAGAGGTAGGCATCCCAGACTGGTTCAATGGCTTCATGACTTCAAACCATTAGATTGATGTCACTCACCTTCTCTTAGTCTTTCCTCACAGTATCAAATTGGGTGCTGTATCTTTAGGTGTCATAATTTCACATAACCACATTTAAAAACAAGAAGCAAGAGGTGACAAAGGCATGGGGTCAGGGGAGACAGAGGAGAGAAAGAGAGAGAGACAGAGAGAGATGGAGAGACAGAGAGAGTGTCCATGCATCTTTCCTTTTACAAAGAAGGAAAAATCTGTCCTGGACATCCAGAGGACTTCCCCTTACATTTCATTGGACAGAACCGGATCACGTGGTGATCCTGCTGCAAAGGAGGCTGAGACAGCATGAATCTGGCTCTAACTTTTCAACCTATGTGACTAGAGGTAGGTAAGGGGAAAGAAATTTTCAGATGGCTTTAGGTTGCTAGTCAAAAATGTCAGCTGTGCTCAAACTGTGTCAGTTTGTTCAAGGGACACATTATCCACCCGGGGGATCCTAAACAGTCTACTTGCAGAGTCTCCATCCAAGAGTTTGCAAATCTCTGATTCTCTAGCCTGAGAACACTCCTGAAACAAGTTAGAGGTGGAAAGCAACAGGCCAGTTAGGTTTCGGGGACATCTGTCATGCTTCCACACATCACACTTTGTCAGATTTCACCCTCCATGCCTAGGTCCCCAGTGACCTATAATAACTGAACTCTTTGATTCACTAGGACATGCCATTTTCGAGGGCTCAGAAGTCTACCAACAGCTGATACTGGAATTCTACCCCAAGTGAATCTCCATTTCAGCCATCATCCAGGCCTCAGACTCTTGTCATCCTCAGAACCACAGTTCAA